AAACTGAGATGACACAAAATTAAATATAAACGTCTGTCTTGTTTGTACTGTCTAGTAAATTAATTCAGAATCAACTTTTGTTCAGACAGATATTATGAGACATTTTACCAGCAGATGGCGGTAATGCACATTGGCACGTTGCACTGTCCTCAATTCCTCAGTGGTTATTCCCGTTATCAAAGGTAGACATGAGAACTTAAAAAGGAAACCAGAACAATTATCAGCACGTAGTATAGTTCAGAAATATTGTGAGCAGCATTTTCTTGATGATATTATTTTTACTGACGGTTCTAAAGATCCTGAGACAGGTCGAGCAGGTTCAGCAGTTTAGTCCATCTAATGACATCTGTAGAGTAGAATTTCAGATCATTTATCAGTATACACTACAGAACTTATAGCAATATTGTTGGCGCTGCAGTGGATAGAGGAAAACGAAAAACAAAATATAGTAATAGCTTCTGACAGCCTTTCAGCACTATTGCAAATGGTAAATCATCAAGCAGAACAGATATCATTAATTAAATATATGTAACAATGTACAGAATAGAACGTAAGGGTGTAAAGATTCCATTACTTTGGGTTCCAGCACATGTAGTTGTAGAAGGAAATGAAGTTGCAGACACTCTAGCAAAACAGGTTTTAAACAGAAAATCCATTGATCTACGAGTCTCAGTAAGTAAATATGAAATTAAGCCATTCATTAGGAAAAACACATAAACAGCATGGAAAGATTACTGGGATTTACAGGAAACTGGAAGATATTTATAAAGTATAAAAAATCATGTAGGGTTAGGAAGGAAAACAAGATGGAATAGGAAAGAAAATGTCTTTACTCTGCTTATAATAGGACACTCAGGTTTAAACTCTATATAAAATAGGTAAACATCCAACAGGAAAATTTTAGAGAACTTATTTGTAGCAAGATTGGACCAGTTCATCTACAAATGAAATATTTTCAGTAGTAGTCAATACGAGTTCARAGYAAATAATTCTACAGCAATGGCTCTCATGGAATTAATTGAGCAAATAACAACCGCTGTTGACCAAAAGCAGCATTGTGCAAGCATTTTTATTGATTTAAAAAAAGCGTTTGACACTATTGAGCATAGTATTCTTCGCAAAAAGCTGAATCAATATGGTATTAGAGGACCGTCATTAGAGTGGATATCTAGCTATTTGAAAGATAGGAAACAGTTTGTACAGATAAATGGAGTAAGATCTGAACTTTGTCACATAACATGTGGAGTTCCTCAGGATTCTGTACTTGGACCAAAGCTGCTTATACTGTATGTGAATGATTTGGTTAATGTGTCAGAGTTTTTCAAATGTGTATTATTTGCAGATGATACWACATTATTTTGTTCGGGTAAAGATATAGAACAGATGTTGGAAAGGATGCAAACGGAATTTGTTAAAATACAAACTTGGTTTAGACTTAATAAGTTGTCATTAAATTTAGAGAAAACTAATTATGTGGTATTTAGTAATAGAAAGAAAACTATTGATTTTCCATTTAGAGTCGATGGGGTTGAGATTTGTAGAGTCAGCGAGGTGAAGTTTTTGGGTGTAGTGACTTATGAAGGGCTGACATGGAGACCTCACATAAATTATTTAAGAACAAAGATGGCTAAATCT